GATAGATAGATAGATAGATAGATAGATAGATAGATAGATAGATAGATAGATAGATGGATGGATAGATAGATAGATAGATAGACAGACTACAGTAATGCACATGACACGAAAATTCTATTTTCAACAAACAGAAAAAAAATGAACTCATGTCATTACGATATTTTATTGTATGTTTAATGATTACATAGCATCTTACCGACCCCTTAAAACAGCAAAATATGTTACTCATTTAGTATGGTTTAAAGTGGTGGCGAATATAGGGAAAGGCAAAAATGACTTTACTGCATAATAATGATGTAGATATCACTATCTGGTTTATTTCTGTTATATACACAATACAACCATCTTGTCTATGATAAAACATTGCCGCAGCGCATATACATAACTGCGTAAGATGTGAGTACACCCAGTTTTGATTTGTCATAGGATTATGTACATGAATAAAGCAAACATGTGACTAAGTCACTTTTAATACGTGCAGGTGGTTTAACATATCACAGTATTCTTGTTGGTGAGTTGACATCTTTGGGAAATACATTAATACTTTCCTGGATGGAGATCTAAAGCCTATGATCCAAAGAAACGAAGAAAGCTGCTTAGAGCTATTTGTCTTCTTTAACAGCGATATCCCTTTATAGTTTAAGTTTGTGGGCTTAATTTTTACATTGAGCGATTGTCCCAAATGATAGAAAAGTGAGTCCCAAAAAATGTTCGTTTTGCTTTTCGTGAACGTTTATAGGCATTGTGTGTTCATGCCTGACTTTCTTTTAACGTTAAAAGCAATTTTTATTTTTGTAGTCGAAGTTGTCGTTGATTTTGATCTTTCCTTTTGTGTAAAAATAAAGCTGAAGTTTTGTTTTCAACGCTGGAGTAGATTTAGCACAGGATAAAGGATAGTTTATCAAATTCTTTAACAGATGTTCAAATGTTCAGAAGTTCTGATTTTCAAAAGTCCTGAAGTTCAGATGTCCAGATGTTCAAAAGTTCAGATGTTCAGCTGGTTAGATGTGAGCTGGTTAGATCCTGAGTAATGTGTCGGAGACGTTGACACCCAGGGCCGGGGGCAGAACCAGCCAATCGTAGTTGAGGATGGTGTAGAAGAGCGCCTCCCCCTGGGGACAGATGTCCTTGAGGCCGTCATAGGTGCAGGGGAGAGAAGCCATCACCGTCTTGGCCTTCTGGCTGGGCTCCAGGTGGCGGTGGTCCACATAGCGTTTGACACAGGTGTAAGACTTCCTCGCTGCCTGCCTGTAGCACTGGGCTCTGGGGTTCACTTCTATCCGGGGGATGGCGGACAGCTTCTGTTTGATCTGCTCCTTTACCTCTGTCTTACACATCCAGTTCGATGTGCTGATCATAGTCTGAGGAATAGAGAAAGGGAGTGGGTGATTGGCGGGTGCTCTGGTGTGGTTTGCTTCTTCTTTCCTTTCAAACATCTATTGTCCTTATCTCCCCTTCTATTTTATGTTTGTTACTCTCTTGTAACACCTCTAATCTTCTGGCGCTCATATGATCTTATGCAGTTGCGAGCGCCGTAAAACATCTACTAAAACCAAAGAGACAGGGAAACATAATAATTATTGCGTATGGTAAGGGAGTGCTTACTGAAGCCCACGTGATACGCTCACTGCTAAAAACAATCAGGAAACGACAAATTGTTCAGTTTTTGGGACACCTGAATAGACTTAAAGGTCTTGCACATCTAGCTCTCACTGGCAAAATTGAAGGCAAACGAGGCAGGGGTAGGACCAGAGCAACCTACTTGGAGAACCTAAACATAATATGGGTAACGGAGAAAGATCAGGGAAAGGTAGCTTTTTTAAGAGCATCCGAGCAAAGGAATGGATGGAGAACCATGATCGTTGATGTCTGTCGCAGCTCTGGCACTGGACGATGATGATGGTAACAGGATGGATACGAAAACGAAAGACTAGGATACTCAACAACAATTCACCCCACACTGGAATCGAATTCGTGTTTTCTGTGTGCATAATACGATTTATGGTGACAAGATCGGCATGAACATAAACGACCAAAATACTCGACAAAAGTTCTCGCCACATGGGAATCGAACTCGTGTCTTCTGTGTGCGACAGCGGTGCGGCTTACAACCACTACACCATAGACTCCGGTCCTTGTATTCAGTCCACACAAAAATGTGAAAGATTACAACCCTTCCACAATTAGATTTAAGAGAGGTTGTTTGTTTGGGGTTATTTATTTATTTATTTATTTATTTTTTA